CACACTCGCCATTGTCCTTTAATGGTGCAAGTGGAGTAAGTGCTGAGGTCAAGCTTGTTCGATCGGCTAGTATGTTTTCCCCTCTGTTTCGAAACCCCTGAAAAATCTCGTCCGGTTTTTATTTCCATGATAACCAATAGGGTTAATGCTACCTGTACAATCTAAAATTTGATTTATTTTAGTTTTGGTCTGGATTCATTTTGTCCCTAGAACATTGTTTTAGTTTAAAATTTTAAGGATTAAAGTTAAATTTGAAGAACTAAAAAAATAGTACTACCTCCGATTCTATTTATAAGAGCCAGTTGACTAATTTGAGGAGATTAAGAAAAAAAGTTAAGTTAGTTATTTATAATAATTATATATTATCTTTCTTAAAATATCTTTACTAATCAAATGTATTTGTTAGAACTATTATTATTAGAAAGACTATTTTGAAAAAAAAATATATAAATATGAGAGACAAAGTGGATTGGGGTCTTATATTTAGAACCAAAATAAAAATTAAACAAGGTCTTATATTAAGTACCGGAAGTAGTTTTACTTCTAAGCAATATATTGTTTTTTCAAATAATATAGTATGCGCTTACTATATTTTATAGTTTTTGAAGGATGCGTTATATGTACATGATATATAATGACTAGTGTTTGTAAATTTATAATTTGCATATGTATCTATGATAGATAATATTTATTTATTAAATTAAATATAAAAAAAAGAAATTAAAGAATATATGTCATAAAATTAATAAAAATTTTAGGGACTGATGTTTTTATTTGTTTATTTAATTATTTATTGCCAATAGATGTCTTTTTTTAAGTCCAAATCACCCAAAAAAAAAAAAAAGAAACAGTTTTTAGCAAGGAACAAAAAACCGGACCGGAGATTAAACCAGTCGAGACAGTGGGTCAAGGGTCACTGGTCGGACCGGGGTTGAACCGGTCATATTAAAATAATATAATTTAATTCATAACATTAAAATATAACACTTCTACTTATCAGCTACACAGCAAGGCAAGTCAGCAACAGAGCTTCAATGGAGAAAGCATAAAACAATCAATCATATTAATTGTTTTTCGAGCAACCAATGCGCCAAAGCCATTATGAATCTAATTGATTGAACCAGGGATTGAAGGAGGCTTTTCAGTTTCAGGCAAGGCGAGCAGTAATGGATCTGAGGTAGGGAGACCGGCCGAACACTAGAATGAACTCAATGAAGAAGGGAATGGGAATCTTGGTCAAGGGAGAATGGTCGAACACTCGAACTCAACGAAACACGCAACTCAACGGCATTGCAAGGGAGAGCGGTCGAACACTCGACGGCGCTGCAAGGGAGAACTCGAACACTCAACGGCGCTGCAACTACAAGGGAGAACTCGAACACTCGAAGGCACTGCAGCTGTAAGGGAGAATGGTCGAACACTCGATGGCGCACTCGAACTCAACATCTCAACGAAATGAAGATGGGAATGGGGGAATCTCGTATGCGGTCTGGCCAGGAGGAGGGAGGGACCGCGTGAATTGACCGAACCCAACCATCAGACGACGTCGTTTTGGGTTTAGGGAGGGGGAAAAAATTAAACCGGTCAGCCCCCAAACCGGACGGTCGACCGGTTTAATACCGGCTTGACCGGTTATTTTCCGATTCAACAGCTGACCGGTTTTCTATTTAAACCGGACCGGACTTTGGACCGGTTCACCGGTTTTCCGGTTGAACCGGCCGGTCCGGTCCGTTTTTTTTTTTCTTGGTTTTTAGTTCAAACTTCGAAGAAGCAATACTTCTGAGGGACAGATGTAGAATTTTTTGGGCGGAGGATGTTGACCGAATGGATATAAATATGCGCGAGAGTTGCACCCTGTCTGCTTATAACGACAATTTTAAGGGTAGTGGCGGCTGACATATACAACGTCCAAGTAGCGCTGCCTTGCCGTACAAATCCAAATGTACCCCAAACATTGTCTTCTAATGAATGCTGCATCAGCATGTGCGTACATTTTCTTCCGTACTTCAGCCGACTTTATATTGTTCGTACCTACCCCATAACCTAATATAAAAACTAATTGAAATAAAATTTTAATTCATTTTGTTTATATACATGTTATTGTTTTAAAAAAATTTTTATTGATTACACATATTAAAAAAATTTATATGAAAGAGTATTTTTAATGTAAATAATTGAAGATAATATTTTTAAAAAATCACCATATATTTTAAATAAACAACTAATTTAACTATTTTTTAATATATTTAAATTAGTTAATCAGATGTTATAATAAAAATAGCTAGTATTATAAGTATAGACTGAGCTTTAATCTCAATGTTCAAAAATTGATATGCTTTTAACAGAGAGGATATTAATTATTTCATTGGAAAAAAACCGAGTGAATATTTATGTGGATTAATATAATTTTTTATCTCTTAAATTTATCATCATTTTAATTTTGGTTATTCAAATTTCAAATGACAGGTTTTGGTATTTCATGAGACATAATTGTCCAAGTTTTTATTAAATTGTAAAGATTAATATTTTAAACAAAAAAAATTTAAAGAACTAAAACCTATAATTTTAAACTTAGGAGATAAAAACAAAAAATTGAACATAAACTTAAAAAACAAAAAATCATATTGACCCATCTTTCGGTGCATAATATATTATAAAAAAATCAGTAAAATAACATTGATCCTTAACCATTATCTTTTTTAAAATTTAAGGCGATTCTATCATTATTTTTTTTGTGGGAAAAAGATCGCGTTGGTTTCTTTTGTGGAAAACGAAGGTTAACAACGTTTGAACAGAAAACCAAAAAGGAAAAAGAAAGTACTCTCCGTTTCCTTATTATAAGAGACAAATAACCGAATTACGTTGTTCAAAAACAGTTAAAATTAGTTAAGAACAATTAATATGTAAAAAGTATAATTTTTTTTCCCAAAAATACCCTCATTAATAAGGAGAGAGAGCATGAAGGTAACAATGGTATAATTATTTAAAGAAAGAGAAGTGGGAGGAGAGAGAGTGTGAGTTGGAGACAATAAATGGGTAAAATAGGAAATCAATACAAAAAAGTAAGACAACTTTTAAGTGTCTCTTATATATAGGAACATGCCATAAGCATCAAATGTCTCTTATAATAAGGAACGGAGGAGTAGCGTCTAAACAAATACAAGATGCCGTCCTGAAACATCATCTTTCAGTGCCATGAATGCTACATGTGCGTACCGCAATTTACTTTGTATTGTTTATTGCAAGCGTTTTACTAATTTCAACGTCTAACAAGTATATCAGATAAAAAAAAAACGTCTAACAAGTATAGAATTATATAATTATTAGATGTATAAGCGTAGAGTAAATTCTTACGTATCTTTTATACTACCTCCTGTTTTTAATACAAGAACTTGTTTGATTTTTATTTTTGTTCTAAATATAAAATCTCAATCCATTTTGTTTTTCATATTTATCTTATTTTTTTCAAAGTAGTCCTTATAATAATGATAGCTTTAGCTATACACTTAATTAATAAGGATATTTTAGAAAGAACAATACTTATTTATTACAAATAATTCAAATTAGTCAACTAATTCTTATTGTAAAAATCGGACATAGTATTTTTTTCCCCCTAAAGAAGAATCTAACTTGTTGTTAACATAAGCAAATGATTGAATCTAGTAAAAGGAGTTAGTCCCTTACAACGTGATGAACCAAAGTTCGAATTCCTGCTGAAAAAAGTGTTCATATTTAATACCTAATAATACCTCGAATAGGATTTTTTCTAATAGAAAAATACCTATACTTTAACCAAAAAAAAAAAAGGCAAAATCATCACCTCGTAAAGTCAAGGGCAACGATTTCCCCCGATTCAGGGGCTTCTCTATTCTCCCAGGTAATTTTTTTACATGAAAATGATACGAATTTTTTTTTTTAGACTTCTTATAAAATTTTGTTTATTTTGATTTTCCTTTTTCCAGATGAGGTAAGAGAGAAATAAATTCTCTCGTTAGGTAAAATTGTTTGATTAACAGTTTTATCGCTGGCAAAAAAAAAAAAAACAGTTTTATCAAGCATCTAAGAAATTTGTATTCGATAATTAAAGACTACTGTAATAATAAAGTTACTTAAACGAAAGCACATGAATTAAGAGAATAATTAAGAAAAACTATGATAATGAGCAATATTACATGAGAATTTGTCTTTGAACCAAAAAAAAAAAATCGATTAGTTAGGATGATTTAAAAGATTTTTACTTATAACGAAATTCAACTTTCCTCCCTAAAAACGCAATTAAGATGTTGACTGTAGTAATTGATCAGTCAAAATATATCTTTTTTTCGGCCTGAATAAATCAGCGTATATCTCAAACCCAAAAGTAAATATGAATTTGACGGGGCACAAAATGCTCAACTCAGCCCACCGTCAAGATCTAACAAATTATGGCAAACAACCATTACGTTAAAAAGAAAAAGAAAAAGTGCAGAACAGTAAGGAAAACAGAATATACATTCTGAATTATAAATCACGAAGAAAATAAATACTCTTCTGTTCCTTAATATATGACCTAATTGTTAAGTTGATTTTGATACTAAATATAAGACCCATTTACCATATTTATTAATTTTCTCTAAATTACCCTTATTGATATTCCCTCAACCATAATTAAATAGAAGAAGAAGATAAAGTATTAAGAAAGATGATTATGGTATCTTAAGAAAAATGTGTCACATTTATTATAATTAACGAACTTACCTAACTTTTTTAATGTGATCAAATTAGTTAAATGAGTCTTGAAAAAAGGAGAAGAAGAGTATTAGCTCAATTATAAATCGAGCCTCTGTAAAACGATGTTCTTGCAAAGCTCCTCCGTTTATTGACTGGGAGAACGTTGGAGGATTGTACCACCAGTCCCACTAATTAAACAGAGAAGACAAATAAAGCGATCATAATTATAGCATTCTGGATTGACCTTCAATAATCTTTTAGGGGCAAAACTACAAAGCACTTCCGTCTTCTCAGTGACTCCAATTGCGAATTCTTGCCAGTGCGCTCTAGCAAGAATCAAAAGCAGCAAAACAGTTTAATATTCATCTGCTCCAATCATGACAGAAAGATTTCCGAAGGCCAATTAGAAAATTTCTTTTGAGTTGTTGGCATTGATTCAGCCCGCACCATGTATATACCGCACCAAAACCATGCTTCTTGATTCGTCTTGGCAAACTTTCTGAAGATTCCCCTTTGACATCATAAAAAACAGAAGGGAGCAGTTTTCATATAAGCCTTGACTTTAGATAGAATAGAACAAGTCAGAAGTATCCTGCAGAAGTTTCATAGAAAGGAGGACAAACTGCATAAAATTAGGGGCACACAAATATACCGCCTGCGTGGAATAAGCAAATAATTGAACATACGTTAAATTCCCAGCCCCTCATCATTTTCATTTTAGCGAGAGAAATGATTTTCCAACTAATAGCAAAGCCAACTTGGGAAGCCTAGACTTCTCTGCATCATTAAGAGGTGAATGGCAATGGTGACTAGTGATCGAAAATCTTTCTTTCTTATGCAAACATGGGATATTATTAATACAACATAAATGAGAATTTCCCAACTGCAAGGAATTAAATTTGGCCAAAGAATAAAGTACCAGAGTTCCGATTCCTCTTATCTGTCTTATTTCTTACTGCATACCTGCCAATGTTCCAATGTTCTGCATTCCCATCTGCAACCGCAGTAGTAGATTCTGTTATCTGTTGATTTATGTTGGTAATTGGCAACTGATGACTGAGGGACCTTATCGGCTTTATTGGGCTGCAAAACTTGTCTTGGAGATGTACGCAGCTGCCGCACTCTCTTGTGAAGGATGGACCGTGCCATAGCTGCAGCCTCAGATATATTTTGTATCTTTCTAACTCGTACATTAGCACTGTGCTCCGTGATCTTCCTATTGGAGTCCAACAAACTATCATGAAGATCTCTAGATTGCCTTCAATTACAATCATAAAGAGGTTATGTAAGCTAAGAACTAACAGTAGCTTGCTAGCTGCTCCAAAAATATGGTGATTTATGCTAATTGTTGTCTGCGTGCATTAGCTATCGGTTCACGGGGGTAATATGCCATTGTAGAACATCACCCTACAAATAATGAACAGGTAACATGACAAAGTCCTCCTCCTCCCCTTTGACCAAACAGCTAAGAACTGACAGTTGCTTGCTAGCTTACCTCCCTTTGAATTACACAATGAATGAATGTCTTTAGGCTAAAACATGCAATTTAGAAGTAACCATTTCAAGAGCAAACAGAGGCTTACATCAGATAATTATGTGCTTCATCTAATAGCTCTTGATAATCTTGTTTATACTTCTCCATATCAGTTATTACCTGCACAGAAAAGAAATAGATCAAATAGGTGCGGAAGCCTGGAAATCCATTGCATTGATTAAGTTGTAATTGTTGATAGCAAATAACCGCAGCTAATGACCGACTTACGTAACTCCTAATTGCGTCACCATCAACAAGCGTTACTAAATATTTATCTATTTTCTAATCTTATCTAATTGACTTTGGTTTTTGACATGGCCCCATAATTAAAACAACAGCATGCAGACTGAAAGCATGCAAGTTCAAAATAAAACACACTGGACCGGACATTGAAAGCCATATTCCTTTCATTAAACTACAACATACATACAATAAAACAACTTGTTATGCAGCATTAAACATGTACCTCATCTATCTCTGCACTAGCAGTACCATACAATTTACGTGCAGCATCTACAACAATAGACGGAAGTCCCAATCTCTCAGCTATATTAATTGCATTTGAGCGCCCTGCAAAGAGAATCTATTTTTAATTAGTGTAATTCCAGCAGATATGATGTCAGCTATCATTTACAACAAATCCATAAACATTTGCATGGTAAGAAACAAGGGCAGTTCTATTCAGTACTTAGAGATTACACCAAGGAATCTCACTCTTCTCAATCATAAGAAAATAATATCTTTTCCTTTGTGTAAGAACTAAAGGGAACCTTTTTGGTCCCTTTTTTCCCTTCAGGTCAGAAACTTTATTTGCTTTCTTTATGTCACTACACCTACAGATAACTTTCATAAGGCCCAGACGCTGTATTAACAAAGTCCTTTCTCAGCCAATTCCCTTTGTAGGGCCTTTTTCTGCGGGTCAAAACCACACCCACAAACAATGTAAAGAGGGTAGATGAAGTAAAATAGAAAAATGAGAAAGGACGGACATAGACAATCCAGAAAGAATGCATCCATCAATAAACTCGTAATTTTCATGATATTATTCATATATAAGAAGGTTCTGACCAGGTACTCCCCAGAGAATCTTGTACGTTGGCTTCAGGTTCACTTCATCAAATTCCATGCATGCATTCTCAAAGACCTCATTGCTGCTCATGAAATCAAGATTTGAGACAAGATGTACTCAAGTATCAGAAATCAGAAAGAACGAAAGTATAACTTCATAATAAATCTAATGCTGCAAATTCTTCACCACAAAAAAAAAAAAAAAAAAAACTGTAAATTCAAAGACCAATGCATATATAAATTTTGCTACAATTGCATTCGTGTTTGCTCACAAGTAATCTTTAAAATGTAGCTGGCAGAAAACTGACATATGACATAATCTTCACCAATCCTTCCATTGTCTACATAGAGCATGTCCTTTTAAGTTTTATCTACATCCTTTTTATGGAATGCCTGTATTTCAGGGTTTTCAGTTCCCCATGGTGAGTTGTAGCCATTGTCAACAAAGAACCATCTATGGCAAAAGACTGCAATAATGCCATGCCCAGTGCAGCTCCCTCAAGAGGGTTTTTTCCAGCACCAACCTAAATAAATGTGATAAAAGGACCATCAATCATGTGCATATATGACATATTTATCGAACTGTTTTTCAAGCACATTACATGCCTCATCTAGTAGCACCAGTAACTGCTGTGTTGAATGTGATTTAATATTCTGCAAAATATAATGAAGATCATACATGAGATTTTCTATATAGTTTAAATTTAAGAAAATAAAATTGCATCTTAAACTTCAATACACGTATAGCATATATATAAAATTCTGGCAGAAAAACTGAACAATCCGTATAGCATATATATATGTGTGTGTGCGTGTGTGCGCAATGCTCTCTTAACAACCCCCTCCCCAAAAAAAAACAAAAGAAAAGAAAAGGAATATTGCCTCCTCTCCTTTTGATTCCATGTACTAAAATAATCCGACCATTCTGATATTTTGTCAACAATGTAGTCCAATTTCGTCTACAAGTTTCTTACAAGACAAGCACTGATCTGCTCTTCATTCAGTGGGGCAAAAGTTTACAAGCAAAATAAAGTAAATCCAGCCGAAAGTATTTGCTATTCTTTAACCTCAATTGAACATTTTCATTGCGCCAACCATTCAGAAAGGAAAAGTAAGGAAGCACACAAATGAAATAAATTTGATGCAGAAATTAGACTAATGTAACACTTTGCCCACTATCCACATTAAAATGTACACGCTCAAAAGTAGCTATCTGTTGTGTACCCATAATCCGTGTAACTTAAGTGAGGGTAGATGAGTCATTAGACTAGGGCCTTTAGTTTCCATTGGAGGAGTATGTCAGCGTCAGTTAAGTTAGTTATATTTTTCTTTTTCCGTTTTCCTTCTATAATAGGATACTCTCTGGTCTAAACCAATTGTATTGTGAATTGTTAATGAAGCCAGGATTATCCCCAACTCTCTGCTCTCTGTTTTCTCATTCCCTTCTATCTCTCTGTTCTCTTCTGTTCTTCTCGATTTCCCTCCTTCTCCTTCTTTCTTGTTCCTGATTACAGGAACGTACCACTATCCATTGACGCATCTCAAGGCAAGTGGGATAGATTTTTCTGTGAATTGAAATGAATACCATGTCTCTGCCAATTACAGATAGAGCAAGATTATTGGCAACGATTGAATTTCAAATATAGAAGAAACATATATAATTTTGTCATTTTTCAATAAAGACGTGTCATTTTTAAATAAATTATGGTTATTTTAATTAATGTATATGTTATTTCTTGTTATATATCAGAAAAAAACATATGTTAACCTCAAGACTTGTTTATTTTCCAGTAAAAACATGTCATTTTCAAATAAATTATAGTCATTTTTAATTAATGTACATGCTATTTCTTGTTATGTATGAGAAAAAATTGCTTTGTTAATATCAAATTTAGACTTGTCATTCTCAGATAAATTGTTTTCATGAGCTGGAGTCACAGTAAAAGAATCAACTTATATTTTTGTTTGCGTTATAAGGTTAAGAAATTTTTGATGACCTAGTGGTCATCTTTTTTTTTTGTTAGTCCCAATAGCTAAAGGGTTGTGGGATCAAATCCCACCCCTGCCACTTTGAACCAATATTCTCCCACGCAAAAAAAAAAAAATACTGTGACAAAAAAACTTCACTAGCAGTCACCACACCAGTGGCTGGCACAGTGCCCGATGGTGGCTGCCGGCCAATCACCGGTGGTGGCTGCCGGCTGCTGATGAGGAGCTGAGGTTTTTTTTTAAAAAAAAATAAGATAAAGGGCTTTTTTTTTTTCATTTTACTGAATTTCAAAATTCTAATTTGGGAAGGACTTCCCTCTCTGTCATTATATTTTCTTAGCTTCCTAAATTAGCATTTCATATTTTCAAGCTTATTTATATCTCATTTTCCCCTATCATTTATCGATTTTACTCCACATTTTTTCAAAAGATGCTAATTGAAGTTTGATAAGCGCTCAGACAGACTCTGAAGCCCGGGACTGGAAATGCCACTTAAAACTCGCATTTTGTCTCCCCGCCCCAAGTTTTAGTATGCGACTCTTTCCGTAACAGTAATACAAGTACGTAAGAATTGAATTTCCGCACTAACCAGAGCAGCGTCAATATGGCCGAAGTCCAGTCGACATGCATTTCGACGGCCGCATTGATTTCATTCAGAAGTCTCAGACTCTCGTCGTAAGTCTGAGTCAGAGACCATAGCAGCGCCTGCTCAGCCAATAACCATAAAATCAACAAGGAAGATAAGCAAGAAGCAAATAAAAACAATCACGTAAGGAGGCCGAGACGAACTTTGACACTTCGCGGCCCAGAGAGGGGGTAGCAAAGGAAGCAGCCAAATCGCACAGCTTATCCCATTCCAGCACTCGGAGACTGTCATAGTGAATAGAAGAAGAGGAAGCAGCCAAGGGCTGCCTGAGTCTATGGTGGAATTTGTTAATTTTAATGTTAATCGGGAAATTGATTGAGGTGGCGGCGATGGAGATGGCTGTACAGGAAAACATGTTACGCGTCAGTTAAGTGTGTTGAGGCCGAAGAACAATTGCTGGGGTCCCTGGCAGTCAATGGTGTACATGTTCCAATACAGTACACAGAAGCAGGATAGAGATGGATAAAACCACCATAGACGCCGCTTGCGTCTGCTTGGCGCTTGTGGAATACCCGCGCTTATCACTCGTTCTGCTGGCGCGTTAGCCGGCGGCGATAAAATGGTACCGTTTTTAAAATTTGTATGATTTTATTTAAATATAATTATTATTTCTTAATTTTAAGTTTGTCTCTGATTAAATTAAATCTTATGCATTTGTTATGTTAATACAAAATCTTTCTTTTTGGTATGGTTATCTGGTACGTACATAACATCATTTGCTAATTACTAGTAATATTTAAATATTATTAATCAAATGAGAGTTGCTTTTTTCTTACACAGGATTCCTCAATTTAAGTAAGACAATATATAGAATTTTTTTCTTCTCAATCCAATTATTGTTTAACTATATGTACTATCTTCGTTTATTGATATAAGAGTTTATTTGACTTTTATTTTAATCTTAAATATAAGATCTCAATCCGTTTTGTCTCTCATATTTATCTATTTTTTTTTCTTAAGATAGTTTTTGTAATAATAATAATTATAGACCAATAAACTTGATCATTAAGAATATTTTTAAAAAGATAACACATATTTATTATAAATAGTTAACTTAACTAATTTTTTTAATCTATTTAAACTAATTAATTAATTCTTATATTAAACTAGAATCGAGGGTTTCTGACCCTTTCAAGCTCCTCCAGAGAGGCAGTGGATAGAACATTAGATGTGAAAAAATCACGCATATGAGCCCACTCGAAGAGCTACTGTAGAGAACAGCAGCTATAAGCTGGACTGGAGTATGCCCAACAAGGGTCAGGACTCAGGAGTCTATTAGAAGGTTGGCAAAGAGGAAAAAGGGTTTTACTTCAAGACCCGAGGTGGTGGCCTGCACATGTTTGGTTTTTGGGCTTCGTTTCCCCCCTTGGGCCTTATTTAAATACCTAAAGAAGTGGGCTGAATGATAGGTGGGCTCATGGCTGGGCAATTTGTAACATTTTTTTTTAAAAAAAACACTAAATTAATCATTATTGGCGCTTCAAACGGATTATACGCCATATTTAAACTAGATTAGATTCTGATCATCAGTTCGAAGGGAATCTGATCGAGCTTGAAATAAGAGGTACTCTAATAGAGAAGACGAGATGGGTGCTGGGAAATTCTAGCATAGACGGGTGCTACGCTAATATTTTGATTTATTTTACTGGCTATCTTGTATTATTACAGGTGATTTTTTTTAACATGGTTGTCTTCGATCTATAAAAGGATATCTATGCATGTTTAAAAAAAAACAAAATTAAAACTTTACGATGATATCTACGTGCCACTTGATATTTTTTTGGGGGTGGGGGTTATATGTGTAAGAAGTGAATCAATAGCATTACGTTTCCTTGTTGGAATTGTGGATAAATGAACTGCAAGTGTTATTCGCACAAACGTAATTTCACTTACACAGAAGATACTAAATACTACCTCCGATCCTTAATATAAGATCATGTTTGATTTTTATTTTGGTCCTAAATATAAGACCCTAATCTAGTTTGTCTCTCATATTTATACATTTATTTTCTAAAATAGCCCTTCTAACAATGATAATTCTAGTCAATACACTTGATTAGTAAGAATATTTTAGGAAAGACAACACCTATTTAAGACAAATAACTAACTCAACTTACTTCCTTAATCTCCTCAAATTAGTCAACTGGTTCTTATAATTAGGACATGAGGTAGTAGTAAATAGTTTAAAATTAAGAGGAGTTGTACATATACTACCTCCTGTCCTAATTATAAGAGCCAATTGACTAATTTGAGGAGATTAAGAAAAGAAGTTAAGTTAGTTATTTGTAATAAATATGTATTATCTTTCATAAAATATCTTTGCTAATCAAGTGTATTGATTAGAACTATCATTGCTAGATGGATTATATTGGAAAAATATATATAAATATGAGAAACAAAGTGGATTGGAGTCTTATATTTAGGATCAAAATAAAAATTAAACAAGGTCTTATATTAAGGATCGGAGGTAGTATTATTTTTTAAAATCAAGATCCATTCTTTAAATGTGTGAGCCTACTTGCATCCAAGAAC